CCTTCCTTCCTTCCTTCCTTCCTTCCTTCCTTCCTTCTTTCTTTCACTGGGACCTGGGGACTTAATCCAGGAGCACTTTACCACTGACCTACATCCCTAGCCCTTTTTATTGATTGATTTATTTTGTGTTAGTGTCTCACTAAGTTGCTAAGGCTGGCCTCAAACTTATGATCCTTCTACCTCAGCCTCCCCAGTCGATGTGATTACAGGCATGCACCACCATGCTGGGCAGTGATATTTCTCTGTCAACTTTATGAACAAAATGATAGGAATTAGTCACTTTTTTCTACAAACTTCATTATATTATAATAAAAGTAGGAGTACATACACAATTTTTTTGGGCTAGCTGGGAGAACTTTAAACTTCATTTATTTCTAGATTAACTATTGATCATTTTCCCCCTAATTCACTTAACTAACCCTTTCACATCTATTTCGACAGGCACAAGACAGAAATTCTATTATTGGAGATAAATACAGATGGCCTCACGTCGTTCCATATGTTCTAGAGGATAGCTTGGGTTAGTATGCACCTCAGAGTGTCCATAGCTAATCCATGTTCCTCACAGAACACGATGACAATATATATAAGGGTAGGCTCGTGTGGCATGCAAGGTTTTGTGTCTTTGTTTGTTTGTCTGTGAGCTGTGTACATTTACTTTAAAAAGGAAGCAAATGAACACTGAAAAAACCCTAAGTGATTCAGCCTGAAATTTGATGTGTTTTGATTAATATTGGGATCAATTCAACCAACATTTATGCAGAGCTTAAATGTTATTGGATACTAGGGGTATAAAATTTAGGAACATACTTTGTATTTTAAGGCATTAGTTTCTCATATGTTCAAGTTTTAAATATGAGTAAAAAGCATAAATAACCAACCAACTAAAACTTTAATGACGACATTGTTTTACCAACATTTTATTTTGCCAAGATAGGGATTAACAAGAACACACTATCTTTTATCATTGTGTTTCCATAAAACAAATAACATTATTAGTTCAGTGTTAGGTCACTAAAAAGTCAGAAAAACCTAATGCAAAACTAAGGACAGCTGTTATGTATTTATTTATTTAGGGTACCTGGGATGGAACAATCCAGGGCTGCTTAACCCCTGAGCCACATCTCCAACCCTTTTTATATTTTATTTAGAGACAAGGTCTTGCTAAGTTGCTTAGGGCCTCACCAAGTTGCTGAGGCCGGCTTTGAACTTGCGGTACTCTTGCCTCATCTTCCTGAGCTGCTGGGATTACAGGTGTGCACACGCTGTGATCAGCTACGGACAGCTTTTTGTATCCAGTTGTGATTAAAAAAAAACAACAAACCCACACATTGTCCTCATTTTACCTCTGGACTGGTGACTGTGATGTTATTGACCAGGATCAGTTTAGATATTGCTCTTTGAGAAAACGTTGGGGGAAAAAAAATGATGTTTCCTTAAAGGTTACACATTTCAGTTGAGATTCAGATAAATCAAAATTTAATTAAAATAGAAAAAGCATTATGGTTAGTGATATGTTCAAAGAGCTCTGAGGGCACATTGGAGGAAATTTCACTCAACCTAGACATAAAGGCATATGCAGTCAGGAGAAGATGACAGTATGTAGCAGGGCTGTGGTGAAGGTCCTGCAGATTGTACCTCATACATTTGTGCTTGGAAGAGGGAGAGGTGGGATGGTGCCAGGTTTGTGTTCTATTCACCAGGAGACGTTTGTTTCTTTGAATGAACAGGTTGTTCACCCAACTGGCCATCCATCACTTTCAGCACCGCATCTGTCCAGATGAGGAGTCCCTTTCCAATTGACCCCAACTGGGCTAGTAGGGCCTCTGATAGCAAGAGAAGGGTACTTTAGGCAGGTGGCCCAGTATGTGCAAAGGGATTAGATCTTTCTTCTGTATTAATTCCAAAAATTCTGGAAGAAATTGATGGAGATGGGAGAAAACTCCTACTTGGAATTCAAATTGGGATTGTAAAACTAATGACAGCAAATAGTTGTGACACAGATTAGGAAGAACTTGAATCTGGGTATAAGACGCCTTGGTGTGTATATTGATAGTAAGGTAGAGCAAAAAAAAATTTTTTTTTATTGTGAAGGTAAGAGAGTCATCATTTCATTTTATAATAATTACTCTGGTTACAGTATAAAGATGTTATTAGTGGGGCAAAAAGACAGTAGGAGATCGTTTAGAAGACTATCAAAGAAATTCAGGGAAGAAATGAAGAGATTCTGAACCAAGACTATCTCCAGGAGATAGAAAAGAGTGGATAAATCTAGAAGAGACTTAGAAGGCTACTTCAGCTTTGGTGATTGACTACGAGAGTCAAGAAGATGGTTAGTAAAGATTGGATCTTAGTCAACTGGGTAGTGCCTTTAATAAGAATGGGGAATATATCTTTTAAAAAATTCTTTTAAAAATATCTATTTACTTATTCTTTTTAGATATACATGACAGTAGAGTATATTTTGACATATTATCTATACAGGGAATATAACTGATTCTAATTAGAATCCCATTCTTGTGGCTGTACATGATGTGGAGTTACACTGGTCATGTATTCATAGACGAACATAGGAAAGTCACATCCAGTTCATTCTACTGCCTTTCCCACTCCCATTCCCCCTCCCTTCCCTTCATTCCAAGACTAGAGAATTTATCTTAAAGAGGGTAGGTTAGTTTTCTGGAAGTTATTTGTCGGCATACAGAATTTAAATTGCATCTCTAACTTGTGGTAGTGATATCAAATAAAGTGTTGATGTGTGGTCTGATCATTAAAGATACAGAAATATTTGGGAATTATTAGGATGTAAGAGATAGTTGAAGCCGTGGGTGTGAATGAGTGTCTCTCACAGTGCCTTGTCAATAACTGACACTTCACAGATAACTGGATTATACTGAGTGATCCAGAAAGATTGTGTTGAGTGAAAGGAGTGCCAAAGATGGAACTCAACCTGCGAAAACAACTTTGGAATTGATACAGGAGGAAGATTTGATCAAAGTTATTGAGAAAGGAGAACTGGCCTTAAATGTGTATAAAAAACTCAGTGGGCTAGAGAAAGCCAAGGCAGGAATAATTAACATTGTTAGAAGCTATTAAGGCTCATGGAATATGAGGAAAGAAAGATGTTCGTTGACTTTTGGAGTTTGGGAAAACCTGAAACACTTAAAGGATTTTTTTTTTGGTTTGGTCTTTTAAAAAAAATTTGAAAAACTTTTATATATACATATATATATATATATATATATATATATATATATATATATATATATATATATCTTTAAAAATACTTTCCTAAGGGGCTGGGGATGTGGCTCACGTGGTAGCGCGCTCGCCTGGCATGCGTGTGGCCCAGGTTCAATCCTCAGCACCACATACAAACAAAGATATTGTGTCCACCGAAAATTAAAAATATATATATTAAAAATATTTTCATAATATATTCAGATTAATGAAAGACAAATGCACTTTAATCTGATTGTATCACTTAGTCTATTTTTGCATGTATTCCAGTCATGCCTAAATACCTATTTTTAAGTAACATTATAAACAACATGAAAAATGTCTTGCAGGTAGGAGCTATTTTTCATCTTATGAATCTGAGGGCATACTATAGGCAGTTAAATATTTTAAAAATAAATAAATAAACATATTATCTGAATTGGATGTAATAGGTTGAAAATTCAGCCTAGATCCAAAATGTGCACATTTTCCATAGTTCTAATCATAATGTTTTAAGGTTTTTGTTATGCTTTTTTCATTTTGTGTTATTGAATTTTTTTCATGTTACATAATCTTTTTAATAGAATGAAACTTCAATTTTTATTTTCAATTATGTGATTTTGATTCTTATTTAAAAAGTACTTTATCTCTATGTAATATGGTAGAATCAAATTTATTTTCTGCGTTCAGAATAAGAGAAGTGTTTCCTCACATTTCAGAAATGTGTACCATTTTCAAGTAACTCAGACCAAGGAAATTACTGAGAAAGGCCACTCTCACATGAAGCCAAAATGAACACCGTGAAAGGTGTTCCGGAAATGACTTCTGGAAAGTCCTCTTTCTCAGGCTCTCGTAGGCCTACCTAAGAAATTGTATCGTAGGGCTGTAGATGAAACTTCAGCTGTGGTCTGCCTGGTAGATGTGGCCCCTCTGAAAGGGGTAGCACTTGGAGCATCCATTTCTAGCTTCTAGTGAGTAAGTTACAATTCCTTGCCTGAGTGCTCAGTTTTGGGGAAAAATCTTATGGGGTGGAGGCTAGATGTGAATTAAGTGGGTGTGAAAATGAAGTGGAAGGGGGTCTGAACCTGAAGAGACCAGAGAGGGGATGATAATACTGCATAATTGCTGTCTGAAACCCTAGGATTTTCAGGGACTTACCCTTTTCCTTGGGAGCCAAGGTGGTTGTTGTAGTTTTAAATTGGTACATTATGATTAAATATAATAGTGTGATACATTATGCCATATTCATACATGCCCCAAACATAATTTAGCCAACCTCTTTTCCCAGTATCTTTCCTTTCCCTCCTTTTTTGGGAGCCAAGGGACTTTTATGACATGATCCTGGTGGAGCTTTTCTGCATCCATGATGCAATCAATAAAGGCTTGTGGTAGGACAGGCATTTGGCAAATGAACATCTTATCGTGGTAGAGGTCTTTCCTGCTAATACTACTCTCATGTGTACTCACATATTGCATTTTCAAAACAGTCCAACATGGGTGGAAATTCTCATCAATTTTGATGAAAGGCTTAGATTAACAAGTCCTGCTTACTTTCTATACTAAAATGGTGATGTTGTGGTTGGTTTAATCAAGGCTTATTTTAAGAAAAAGTTTGATTTGAAATAGTGATACAAATGTGATATTTTTAGTTCAGAACATTTTATTTATTTATTTATTTAGTTAGTTAGTTAGTTTTTGGTACCAGGAATTGAACCCAGGGGTGCTTAACCACTGAGACATATCCCCAGCCCTTTCTCTCTCTCTCTCTCTCTCTCTCTCTCTCTCTCTCTCTCTGTATATATATGTGTGTGTGTGTGTGTGTGTGTGTGTGTGTGTGTGTGTGTGTGTGTATGTGTATGTGTATTATTTAGAGACAGGGTCTTGCTGAGTTGCTTAGGACCTCACTAAATTGCTCTCCTTAGAGAATATGGCTTTGAACTCTTGATCCTCCTGCCTCAGCCTCCTGAGCTGCTGGGATTACAGGAGTATGTCACCCTACCCAGCTATAGTACAGAATATTTTGAAATGATTTAAACATTTGACAAGAAATTACTATACCTTTTGAAGCTATTAATGCAGTCATTAAGATAATGATAAAGATTTAGTGGTATATTATTTAGTAAACAATAGTTCATATAATATTCTATAGACTGTAATTTTCATTTTTTTATGAAAATACATGTGTGCTCTGTATGTACCATAAGCAAAAAGTATGCTAAGGGTGATTATTTCTCAGTGATAGGATTTTAAATTCCCTTCTTTTTGTTTTTAATGCCTTTTCCAATGTTTTCACAGTAAACGTGCATTACTTATGTGGTATTGTAAATGGTTCAACTCTGAGGGCCTGTTATGATTTATGGATTTTGAGGCCTTACCAATGACAATCTTATACTTGTATTTAATTCAGCTTGGACAGAGATGTTGCAGGTCATCCTCCTTAACAGGGTATACAAAAATTATGTAGGAAGGAACTTCCTTTATTTGGAACTTCATCTTTCTATCTCTTCTTATGCTCACAGTAACATTGCAAAGTTGATTTTATTTCTTCACTAAACTGATAACAGCAAAGCTCTTAAGAGTAATTACATTAGCAAAGGTTATAGGTCAGAAGTTAGGTGAAGACGCATGAGAACTTGTTATGTCTGGCCCTGGGGTCCTAGCATTTCCTGTTCTCCACTACTACTTCCAGGCAGGCCACCATTCTTCACATAAGCAGTGCCTGACTCCATTTGTGTCAGACCCTCTTTTTAGGTCACCCTCAAAGTTTTTTTTCCCTCTATATTTTGTTGCTTTAATGTGTCTGCCTTCTTTGAGCTTCATATCTCTCTAACCCATGAGCACCATTTTTAATCTCCTAATAGTTCTTAACTCCATTTTGGTCATGAACTTGGTTGCAAACCTCTCGAAAGCTCTCCTTAGGGAATATAGTTTGCAGGTACAGATAGAGGAAAAGATACATTTACTTTGCATTGCTATTTTATGGACCTTCCCTTCTCAAGGTCCTTGGATTAAAAACTCTGCTGGGGCCTTTAAATATAAATGGTAGTTCCTTAGATAAAGCAAGTAACATTGACTGTTCATTTTTTTGTGGAGGAGGCGGGTAGTGGGAATTGAATTCAGGGGCACTTGGTCACTGAGCCACATCCTCAGCCCTATTTTATATTTTATTTATAGACAGGGTCTTGCTGAGTTGCTTAGCGCCTTGCTTTTGCTGAGGCTGGCTTTGAACTCAAAATCCTCCTGCCTCAGCCTTTCGAGCAGCTGGGATTACAAGCATGTGCCACAGTGCCTGGCTTAACTGTTGCTTTTTTTTTTTTTTTTTAGAGAGAGAGAGAAAGAGAGAATTTTTTAATATTTATTTTTAGTTTTTGGTGGACACAACATCTTTATTTTATTTTTATGTGGTGCTGAGGATCAACCCAGCGCTCCGTGCATGCCAGGCGAGTGCGTTACCGCTTGAGCTACATCCCCAGCCCCAAATTTATTTTTTATTCTACTTTGTTATATATGACAGCAGAATGCATTACAATTCATATTACACGTATAGAGTACCATTTTTCATATCTCTGGTTGTATATAAAGTATATTCACACTGATTTGTGTCTTCATACATGTACTTTGGATAGTAATGATCATCACATTCCACCATTATTAATTACTCCATGCCCCCTCCCTTCCCCTCCAACCCCTCTGCCCTATCTAGAGTTCATCTATTCCTCCCATGCTCCCTCTCCCTATTACACTATGAATCAGCCTCCTTATATCAAAGAAAACATCTGGCATTTGGTGTTTGGGGATTGGCTAACTTCACTTAGCATTATCTTTTCTAACTCCATCCATTTACCTGCAAAGGCCATGATTTTATTCTCTTTTACTGCTGAGTAATATTCTACTATGTATATATACCACAGTTTCTTTATCCATTCATCTACTGAAGGGCACCTAGGTTGCTTCCACAGTTTAGCTATTGTGAATTGTGCTGCTGTAAACATGGATGTTGCTGTGTCCCTGTAGTATGCTGTTTTTAAGTCCTTTGAGTATAGACTGAGGAGAGGAACAGCTGGTTGACTGTTAATTTTGATCTATGTTGTATATCCTCCGAGATAAAGAAACACCCTTCCTATTGTTTAGTAATGCACTGCTAATGGACTCCAGAAAAATATAAGGCAAAGTAAGGATTCTGAAGAATAATCAAATGCTTGAATAGAATACTTAATTGGTACTGTATACTAAATTTTATAAAAACAAAATGTTGGAAATTCTTGAAGGAACTAACTCATGATAGTCAATAGAGTACATAGCCTATTTCCATGGTGAATTGTTCAAAGGGGATTATTTTAATATGTGTATTTTTCTTTTTACTTGTTTATTTTTTTCTTTCTACATTTTTTATGGGTGCATTAGAGTTGTACCTAGTGATAGGATCTGTTGTTATATCTTTGTACATGCACACGATTTAATAATCTAATTTGGCCAGTGTCACTCCCCAGCATTCCTCCTCCCTCTTCCTCTCATATCCTGGTCCCTTTCTTCTACTCCTCTCCCTTGGTTTTCCTTCAGGTGTGAATGCTAAAGGGGTTATCCTCCAGGCATTTGATCGCTATCGCCTGAAAACTTGCCTTGACTTCAAGCCTTGGTCTGGGGAAGATAACTATATAGCATTTTTCAAGGGCACTGGGTAAGTGGAGGGTTACTAGGGGTTCTCCTAGGGAATCGCCTCACAGTAACTGCCCAAGGCCCTGACCATTAGCGTAGGGCCATGGCTTCTTTTGCTGTTGGTTGCAGAGCAAGACAGCTAGGTCTAGTTTCCCTGGCATAAAAATAATGTTTTCACACATTCAACCAGACTTTCAATGTTAAAATGAGTGTGACTGAATGTCATCTATTCCACAACCTGTGGATTTCCACCCATTTGTAATTGAAATGTAATCTTTATTCCCTCTTAAATAAAAACACTTTTGTGTGCCTGTGTGTATTTAACTTAATTTTAACCTAAAAATTATTCTTACCTAAGAACATGGGAGCATGTTTGCTTGGAGCTCAGCATTCTGAGTGGTTGCTGTGCCTGGGAAAGCCCTTGTAAATGGGCACAGGCATACCTAGGATGATCTCATAGACTGAAACTTCCAGGAATATCAGGACCAAGCTGCCTGGGGAATCACTTGCTCCTATGTTAATATGTAGCATTAGGGCAAGTTCTCTAAAGATCTCTGGCCTGCAAGGTTTTTCATGCCTCACCAGGATTGTGAGAGAAATGCACAGTGTCTCAATCTAGGGAAGGGCCAAGGGGTGGGCATTCTCCTGGAGACCTCAGTGTGCATCTCTGTAACACTTCCCCCTCTCCTGTAAACTCTCCTAAGCTGCTGGTCCTCGATAGGAAACAAACGTCAGGGGAAGCAGGAACTTTCCATTGGGAACAATTGTGACAGGATAGGAACCGTGCAGCATGAGCTCTTACACGCGCTGGGATTCTGGCATGAGCAGTCTCGTTCTGATCGGGATGACTATATCCAGATAATGTGGAACAGAATTAAACCAGGTACATTTCTTCTCTCTCTCTCTCTCTCTCTCTCTCTCTCTCTCTCTCCATTTTTAGACTAAAATGTTAATGCCAATGGTTAATAATTGAAAAACTGACATCTTGCTGCCTTACTTGATTTATCCTCTAACTTAGTACGTCTGAAGTACCTTAAAAGTCGTTGGGTGCTACCATACAGGAATCACAGAACTGTGATTTAGAGCTGTATATAACATAAAAACTAGTTTCTCAAGACATGTTCTATGGGATACAGTCCCACATATTCTTACACGTGTCCAATGGGAAGGAGCCTGAATTCAAACTAGTTCAGGTGAAAAGAAATTAAATGTGCAGTTAGTTATCTGATTGCCTGGCTGCAAACTAAGAGATTTCTAGAGCAAACGAAGTGTTTTAATCTATGACCTCCCTCTTTAGTATTCTCACAGTTTTATTTTGGATAGGAACTTCTGCCCATATTTGATAAGACATCTATATATCTTTGGAAATCAGGCACACCTCATTATATCCACAAAATCACCTGATTTCAAGTTCTAATCAATTGCCCTTGACTGTGATGCTGAGTTGCGTGGTATCTTCTTTAAATATATTCATTTTAGTTAAAAAAAATATTTACTTTCAGTACTAGGGGTTGAATCCAGCAGGCTGTACCACTGTACTACAGCCTCAGCCATTTTTATTTTATTTTATTTTTATTTTTGAGATAGGGTCTCCCTAAGTTGCCTAGGCTGGTCTTGAATTAGTGATCCTCCTGCCTCAGCCTCCTGAATAGCTGGTATTACAAGCATCTTCCACTGTGGCCAAAAATGAATATTTTTTTCCTTTCCTTATTTTTTATTGGTGCATTAGAGTTGTACATAATGATGGGATATGTTGATAACATATTCATACATGTGTGCAATATGATAATATAACTTGACAAATGTCACTCCCCAGCACCCCCCAAATGAATATTTTTAATTGATAAATTGTAACTGAACACACCTATGAGCTACAAAATGTCATTTTGATATATGTACTCAATGAGGAACGATTAAAACAGACTAATTAGCATGTCTATCATCTCACTTGGTGTTTTTATAAGACATTTTAAAACTACTCTTAACAATTTAGAAATATAAAATAAATTATTATTAACTGTTGTCACCATGATTTATACGTATCTACAAATATTCCAGCAATCCTGGAAAACGTCTCTGACCATGTCAATCCTTTTTCTAATGATTCTTGTCTATATTATTCCCAGGTCCCATTTGAACCTCCCTTCCCAAAGTCCTCTTAATTTTATCTCCATTTGCTGTGGAGATGAAACTTAAACTTCTGCCCTGGCTGGCCCATAATCCTGACTGTTTTGTTACCACTTTTTAGAGCCTTGGATCCGGCCCGCATATTCCAACTTGGGACATGGAATCTTAGATATATTTAGTGTGATTGCTGGAATCACAATTCCAAGTGTGAATATTATATTCTAAGATAGGAAGATGTTAAACACTCAAGGCACAATAGATCCTTTGCATAAAAGTTTGCTATATTTTATTCTCCTTCTCTAAGTGAACAGTGTGTAGAGAAGATACATTGGTTTTATGAACATCAAGTAATCAAAGATTTTTTTTATGTACCACTTAGGTCGAGAGCATAATTTTAATATTCATAATGACAAAGAATCCGATTTCCTGAATGTTCCCTACGATTACTTTTCTGTAATGCACTACAGTAAAATTGCATTCAAAAGAGGACAAGACCCTACAATTATAACAAAGATGGCAGTCTTTGAGGATCTGATTGGCCAACGCATGGATTTCAGTGACTATGATCTCCAAAAGTTGAATCGACTGTATAACTGCTGTATGTGACAAGTTCTTTGAAATGTGTTGTATTTCCCTCTGCTATGTGGAAGAAAATGATGGTCTGTGCCATGGGGCGTTTCTGAGAATATATATGTTTGACTTTCAGAAAAACAAAGTAGCACCCAGATCCCAGTTTCCCACTCAGTTGTAACATTTTTCTTCTCTCAAGGTCTGTCTTTGAGTTCTTTTTTTAATTTTTAATTTGTAATTGGACACAATACCTTTATTTTGCTTATTTATTTTTATGTGGTGCTGAGGATCAAACTCAGGGCCTTGCCTGTGCTAGGCTAGCGCTCTATCGCTGAGCCACAACCCCAGCTTTGCCTTTGAGTTCTTAAAAACAGCTTGAGTCCTTTTAGGAATCCACCTCAGGCAGGGTTTTGAAGCTGTTCCTAATTCAGACATGGGCCCAATTTGATATTCAAACCTCTTTTCAGCTAAAATGGGGTACACATTTGTAATATAAACAGGATCAAATAATCTGGGTCGTGTGGCTTAATGACTTGAATAATAAGGAGAGTGTAGACTCGGTTTCTACAAATAGATAATTAGAAGAAAATAAAAGACAATACAGGGCTGGGGTTATAGCTTAGCAGTAGATCACTTGCCTTACGTGCGTGAAGCACTGGGTTCGATCCTCGATGCCACAGAAAAGTAAATAAAATAAATAAATAAATATTGTGTCCATCTTAAAAAGAAATCTTTTTACATTTTTTTTTAGTTATAGATGGACACAGTACCTTTATTTTCTTTATTTATTTTTATGTGGTTCTGAGGATTGAACCCCATGCCTCACACATGCGAGGCAAGTGCTCTCCTACTGAGCCACAACCCCAGCCCCTTAAAAAGAAATCTTAAAAAAAAAAAAAAAAAAAAGACAGTGCAGCCTATGTATGCTGATCCACAGAGGGGTCTCTAGCTCAGATCAGCTAGGTGTTCCCCTTAATGATGACCTTCTAAACCTTCCTCAGACTTCTGTGATAAGCTCATTTTTTTTATTACTTAGATTATGATGCTTTGTTAATAATTTTTTTGTTTGCAGCCTCTTCCTTGAGTTTTATGGACTCATGCAATTTTGAACTGGAAAACATATGTGGAATGATACAAAGTTCAGAAGATAAGACTGACTGGAAGCGAGTTTCAAATGTTTCTGGGGGTCCAAAGACTGATTATTCCAACATGGGAAAGTGTAAAGGTAACAAGACGGAGGGACTTCTAGATATTATGTTCAGTGCCCCCCCCTTTTCCTTTTACTATGAAACCCTGGGATTTTATCTTTCATTCTGTCAGAATTATTAATGATAATCCATTTGGTTGCTACAAAGGAATGAACTTTGTGCATTATAAGGACATGGGTGATATCTTTGCTTTTATACTCTGAGAACATTTTTCTTTCTAGTTTCTGGGCTGCCTCTCTCTCCTGCCCACACAGTAGGCTAACTTCTCCTAAAGCACTTACAGCTTCACCTTGAGTTAGCCTGGGGACACACAGATACTGTGGCTTTCTACCTACCTGGATTTCAAGCCCTACTTTAAAATTTTTTTTTATTTGTTCTTTTTAGTTATACATCACAGTAGAATGTATTTTGACAGATCATACGTACATGGAGTATAACTTCCCATTTTTGCAGTTGCACATGATGGTCATGTATTCATATATGAACATAGGAAAGTTATGTCTGATTCATTCTACTGTCTTTCCCATTCCCATCCCTCTACACTTCCCCTCACTCCCCCCTCCCCCCCACAAGCCAGTGTACCTTCCCTTCTCCCCCCTCCCACCTATTGTGACTCAACATCCACTAATCAGAGAAAACATTTGGCTTTTGTTTGTTTGGGATTGGCTTATTTCATTTAGCATGATCGTTTCCAGTTCCATCGGTTTACCAGCAAATGTCATAATTTCAATCCTCATTAAGGCTGAGTAATAGTCCATTGTGTATATATACCACATTTTCTTTATCCATTCTTCTGTTGAAGGTCACCTAGGTTGGTTCCATAGCTTAGCTATTGTGAATTGAGCTGCTGTAAACATTGATGTGGCTGTATCACTGTAGTAGGCTGATTTTAAGTCCTTGGGGTATATGCCAAGGAGTGGGATAACTGGGTCAAATGGTGGTTCCATTCCAAGTTTTCTAAGGAATCAAGCTTCTACACTGGGCTGAATTTCTATTCCCCTTTTGCACATTCCCAGAGCGGGGAACAACTCTCCATGCTGTCTTACTGATGGTAACTACTCCCACTTATAGTTTGGCCAGGGATGGGAATGTTTGAAAGATGCTCCTTGCAGAATATCTGTCTTTTGATCCTGCTTCTTAGGCATGACCTGAAGGCTTATATTGGATTTTTTTAAAATTAGTGTTTTATACATAAGCTTGCTTTATCTTTATAGCTCATAGCAAATGAAAATAAGTGAAGATCAGTGTCCACAAGCAAACTGCTACTATTGTAATTAATATTTTTATAAGTAATAGATTGGGGTTGTGTTCTGTTATGTCAGTCAGTTAGCGTTCTGAGTACTAGAGATATAGCTTAGGCTCCTAAAGTTTCTCCCTGGGGATTTACCTCCTGGTACTCATTGGGCCTATTCCTCTAGCCAGCATCTGTTTTTTTTCTCAATTCTTTTGTCCTCATACCAGGTTATGGTTTCTTCATGCATTTTAACAGTAGCTCTGTAAGTGAGGGACACACAGCAGTGATGGAAACTAGGATGCTGTACCCTAAAAGAGAATTTCAATGCTTGGAATTTTATTTGTATAACAGTGGAAGTATAAATGACCACCTGAACATATACGTCAGGAATTATACTGCAGATGATGTAAGTGGTCATCGGACCCTTGTGAAACAAATAAAAGGTAAATATTAATATTTTTATTTTGGGGGTTCAGAGTTCTTTGTTTATTTAATGCAGCAACTTAATAGAGCAGAGGTTACTGACTCACTACTTAATCTTTTTTTTTGGTACCAGGGATTGAACCCAGGAGCACTTAATTTCTCTGACTCACTACTTTTTGAATACAACTTGATCTTTGTTTCTTAAGGAAGCCAAAGAGAGGCTCCTTTGCTGTGTTTTATTTTTTAGTTTTAAAAAACAATTGTGAGGGCTGGGGATGTGGCTCAAGCGGTAGCGCGCTCGCCTGGCATGCGTGCAGCCTAGGTTCGTTCCTCAGCACCACATACAAAACAAAGATGTTGTGTTTGCCGAAAAACTAAAAAATAAATATTAAAATTCTCTCTCTCTCTCTCTTAAAAAAAAAAACAAAACAATTTTGATACTGGGGATTGAATCCATGGGTGCTTCACCACTGAGCCACATCCCTAGCACTTTTTTATGTTTTACTTGAAGGTAGGCTCTCATTAAGTGGCTTAGGCCTCGCTAAGTTGCTGAGGCTGATTTTGAACCTATGATCCTCCTGATTCAGCATCCTGAGTTGCTAGGATTACAGAGATGTGCCACTGTGCTTTTGCTGTACTGTGTGACACTCAAGAAATAAAACTTGGCCACATCCATGTTTATAGCAGCACAATTCACAATAGCTAAATGGTAGAACCAACCTAGATGCCCTTCAGTAGATGAATGGATTAAAAAAAAAAACTGTGGTATATGGGCTGGGATTGTGGCTCCAGTGGTTGAGTGCTTGTCTAGCATGCACTGGGCACTGGGTTCCATCCTCACCACCACATAAATGTAAAATAAAGATATTGTGTCCACCTAAAACTAAAAAAAAAAAAAAACAAAACCCACCTGTTGTATATATACACAATGGAATATTACTCAGCAATAAAAGAGAATAAAATCATGGCATTTGCAGGTAAATGGATGGAGTTTGAGAATATAATGCTAAGTGAAGTTAGCTAATCCCAAAAAACCAAATGATGAATGTTTTCTCTGATATAAGGAGGCTGGTTCATAGTGGGGTAGGGAAGGGGAACAAGAGAGAATTAGATGAACGCTAGATAGGGCAAAGGGGTTGGAGGGGAAAGGAGGGGGCATGGGGTTAGAAATGATGATGGAATGAGATGGACATCATTATCCAAAATACATGTATGAAGACACAAATGGTGTGAATTTACTTTGTATACAACCAGAGATACGAAAAATTGTGTTCTATATGCGTAGTATGAATTGTAATGCATTCCTCTGCCATATATAATAAATTAGAATTAAAGAAAATTAAAAGGAAAAAGAAAAAAGAAATATAACTTGGTCTCTGGAATTGTGCAGTTCAGTCCTTGGCAAGTAATAACCGGGCAATGAGAACTAGCTTAAGCACAATGGGAAGGGTTGCCAGCTCATTGTAACTGAATTATGGAATGGATGAGGGAGGAGCTGGCCTCAGGGGCCCCTGGACCTGTCCCTGAACATTGCTGGGGACCTTGTGTTTGATCTCAGAATGGCCTTGTTCATACACTGGGACTTAGGCTGTTTAGTTTCCTATATTACCTCATACCCAATGTGCCATTTGACTAGAAAAGGACTCCTCTAATTTCCAGCTTAAAAAATAAATTCCACCCAAGGATGCTGAGTGTTATGACTTGGACTAAATGCAACTTCCTGAGTACAGAGGCGGGTGCTCATCCTTCAACCCAGCCCTGAGTTGACCACCTGTTAAAGCAGATGGCCAGGATGGTTCCCTGGGGAAGGCAAGGGAAGGGCCGAACGTGGACTGGCAAACAGATGACTGTATGCTCTGCAGGTTGACCTCTTGGTTTGATGAACTGAGCAAAACCTATTATGAAATAGACCCACATGATGCTGTGTTATGCCATTTCCTCCCCTCTGCTTAACAATAGAAACAATCTGAAATACAGAGGCTATTTTTCTTTGTGAACACCTATGAGCAGTGTGGTTCTTAATCTCACTAAGAATATGTACACAGTATGCACACACATCATGTATGAAATTAAATACAATATATAATTGTAGATATGAAAACCATGTATAGAAGCCTCATATATGCAATACAAATATATATTATATATGTATATGAATCTACATACTAATATATATATGCAATTCCAGGTTTGAAGGGAACTCCTTCTCCTTAGCAACTGTGAGTGACTCACTGATAAGCAAATACAAAGGGATCTTAAGAAACTAGCTAGGGGTACAAGATGAGAGTTGAGAAGGAATTGCAGACAGGGAGACAAGAAGTGATCTACCAAATATCAGAAAAATATTTTCAATACATGTATGAATTCAAATTGAAGTCACTAGTAAGTGATCTGAGGAGTACCTAGTAGGATGTGGACTTCCAGAGTTTGGTAGATCCCTGTTTTAAATACTGCTGAAAAGATGATTGTGCATGTAAAGAAGGTATACCAATATCACAAAGTCATGGGCACAGGTGTTGAGTATAGAGCCTGCTTGACTGTTAGCTACCAGAGAATGGCAGGTAATTCATAAGTTGGGCTTGGAGAATTCATGAGTCACACACTACTGCTTGCTTACCTACCTCTGGCAAAGGGTGACCTCTCTGAGAAACAAGTATATATGCATTCAGATATTCTAGAGAACAGTATGACTTCCACAGAAATACCTTGAAATCCTGGGCTGGAAAACTGAGCTCATACCTCTGATCTGTAGGAAGCAATACCTCTTGGATGATCTAGGAAGATTAGAGCTCTAATGTTTATTTGCCTGTGATGCATAGTCCTTTGTCTTCTTTGAAATAATGGCTTTTTTTTTTTTTTTTTTTTTTTTTGCAGAAATTCCCATTGGGATCTGGGAACTTTACTACATACCACTGAAAATGGTCAACAAATTTAGAGTGGTGTTTGAAGGACTCAGGGGCTCTGGTGCATCATCAGGTGGTCTGTCTATTGATGACATCAATCTTTCGGAAACACAGTGCCCTGAACATGTGTGGCACATAAGGAATTTCGAAGAGACCATTGACAAAGAAAATGGAATTCTATTAAGCCCTCCATTTTATTCTCCTAAAGGTTATGCTTTTCAGATTCAATTCAGTCTAAAACCTTCGACAGATGCACAGATATATCTCCATTTGGTCTCTGGAGGCAATGATGATTATTTAAAGTGGCCATGTCCTTGGCAACAAATCACGATAACACTCTTGGATCAAAATTCTGACATTCTACGGCGTATGTCCAACCAGCTGAGTGTAACTACAGACCCATTTCTGCTTGGTTCGTGGCTCATTTTATTTATTACTAATACACAATTATTGCTCCAGGAGGGACAGATGATTTGGGAATGACAAATTGGATGGCACAATTGGTTACTTTTGGAATTTAAGCTCCAAATCTTAAAGAATAGGGGATGCTTACAGGCAAGTCTTTACTAATTGAGGACAGAGTCTCTGAAGCAGGAGACTACTAAGAATATCAGCAAGGACTTTGACAAACAGGGAAGATATTAGCTGGGTCCCTGGGAATTGATGACCATCCTTGACTTCCATGTTGTTCAAGCAATGTTGTTTTGAGTATGATGTGCCTGGGTTCAAATCCAAGGTTTGCTTTGCATTAGTTATGGGACTGTGAGTGAATAATGTTTTGGAGTCTCAGTGTCCTCAAGCTGTGAAAGTAGGACAGTAATTCTCCCATAAATTGTTATGAGGATAAATACAGATCAAGTACGGAAGGCTGTTGGAACATCCTGGTACGCAGAATTCTCAGATGTTGAGTTTCTCTAACCCATAATGCCTTGATCATGCCACTGGGGTTGTCAAAAACAATTCAGCTCTTGGAATTTGGGTGGTTTTGATCAGGAGGAAGATCCTGGGGATAGGGTGGGGGGGAGGTTGAACTGGAGTATTGGTAGGAAGGGTATGGAAAGAATTGTCATCTCTTATTGAAGAGTTCTGGAGGATTTGCTAACAGTGACATCATTCTTCATTTTTTCCAGTCTCAAAAGGAAACAGGGCCCAGAAGGCCATGATCACTCTTCTAATTGTAATACTCTTTTGTTTCTGGAAACCTGACAAAGGAAAAAAATAGAATTATGGCAAGCTAATGATGATTGCCAAATTTTGAAATTTATAAATGTTTAGAATTTTTTTTCACTCTTTCCTTACATTTTTCTCCCTGAATGACACTGAAAATGGCTCAGTTTTGCCAGGCGTGGGTGTCGCACACCTGTAATCCTCGTGGCTGGGAGACTGAAGCAGGAGGATCGCCAGTTCAAAACCATCCTCAGCAAAAGCAAGGCGCTAAGCAACTCAGTGAGACCTTGTCTCTAAATAAAATACAAATAGGGCTAGGGATGTGGCTCAGTGGTCAAGTGGCCCTGAATTCAATCCCCAGTACTCTCCACCCCCCCCAAAAAAAAAACAAATGGCTCACTTTTGATGGATCCTCACCTTTTCCCAGGAGCAGTGCTTCTTGCTGTCTTGTATATTGGAAGGACTTTACTCTTTTAGGTGAATAATTTGATTAATGAGATAATTTATTCTGCGCTAATATTGAAAACTCTCTCAGCAACCTATTGCTTTAACTCAATTTAAAAGGATGATCTGTAACTCAGAAGGCCAATGGGGCATGGTTCTAAGTGTCAGAAGGATTTCTGTACCAGTTAGTAAGCAAAGGTGTGTTATCCTCACCTAGGGGACTTTGGGTCCTCTCCACTCTAGGCAGGGCCCTTCCTGCCAGACAATCTTATTTCCTTTAGGACAGTATAAATGAATAGGCTCCAGCAGCTTGCCAGGGAATACATCACAGGTCAACAGCATCATTGGATTATTTGGGGCCCATCCTGATTTGTGTTTCACATTGCCTGTTCTTTCCTACCACCAAAAGCCATGCTGATGCTAAATACAATCCATTAATGTAAATTGCTTTTTCAGATGATACAAAGTATTTTTGGGACAGGCCTTCTAAAGTGGGAATACAGACTGTTTACCCTAATGGAACTGAGTATATGATGAACAAAGGCTATGGGAGCAGTGTCTTCATAAGCCATAGCAGGCTACACAGCAGAGAGTTCATAAAAGGAAATGATGTTTATATCCTACTGACCACGAATGGTATGCCAGTAAAAGTCATTTTATTTAAGTTAATTTGTGTGTGTGTGTTATGGCCATGGGCTATTTCTGATGTTCTTCTGGTTTCATTTTTAGGCATATTATAGGATGTAGGAGGAAATGGGTACAAATGAGTTTTTTTTTTGGGGGGGTATGAATCATTAACAACATGAAACTTATTAAATTTGAAACAACAAAAGTTCTAGGGTATAGAATTTAATTACTATCCCATGAAACAATAGTAGAAAGCTTTAGACTGGACGATTTCTTTAGAAATAAGTTAGGATACAGATAATATTCCCTAAGATTATACTCTATAATTTATAAAATAAATTCATCTGTAAACAAACCAAGTTATTATCTGATACACACATGCACACGCATACATGAAAACATATGTACCCACATATATCCTGGCAGTAATCATGTTAGTTAATTGTCTGTTAAATTTTTTATCCATGGCAATCAATAAATACATTTTCCAGCAATGCAGGTGGTTTCCATGTTTGATGTAGTACGATTGTAACTCATCTACTCTGAAAGATTCACTTGCGTCTCAGTAAATCAGACCGCATGGCAACGAGAGGTGGTACAACTAGAACCCATGAAATTCAAACCAGAGTGTTCACTAGAATAAATCTAGATGATATTTTTTTGGAAAAAATTATTGAGAAAAAAAACACTACTAAAGAGAAGACATTTTAGGGTACAGAGAAAAAGAAGTGACATTACAGTGAGAGAACAAATTACAGTGTAAAGAACATGGCACAGGCTACCAGGGCACGGTACCTTGCTTGAAGTCTCTGCCTCTTACTCTACCAAGCAGGAGACCCTGACCTTGGGCAAGGTCCTTAACCACTTTCCATTTCTGAGCTTCGGTTTTCTCACCTGTCTCTAGTGGGTTGGTGACAAGGGTTTGAGAGAGCCCTGCCTCTGAATGTTGCTGGACCATGCATCAAATTATCTAAATTCCTCACAAGGCTGAAGCCTGAACATCTATTTTGAGACTTAAGGGCCAAAGGATTACTCAGGCACATGCTGATCACCGTTTCTCTCTCCTGTTGCCTCTCTTAGACCGATCTGACCTCGCTCAAACACCGGATCAGAGTAACCCAACCTCTGATCCCCATGACCTGTGCTCAGTCGTCGTATGTGAAAATGGTGGCATGTGCTCCATCCAGAATGGCAAGGCTGAGTGCTGGTAAGGGGGCACTTGGGAGAGGGCCCTGTTCTTATTGTTAGAACATAGGATTAAATGCTGATAGTTCATATGAATTAAATTTGTCAATTCTCCTCTCAAAACCACTCACAGAATATTCTGTGTTTTTGTATTCCATTTGGGACTTCAGATACCTATAAGGACAATAAAACTTTTAATGAAAAAAAACCCCAACACATTATATTCCATGCTTTTATGATTATGTCAAAAATGAATCCTATCAATATATATAACTAAAAAGAATCAAGAAAAATGTTTTTTTAAAAAAGAATGAATGCTTAGCATGCTCAAGGCTGTGGGTTCCATCTCCAGTATCATGGGGAAAAAATTTAAAAATCTTTTAAAATGAAAAAAACATGACACATTACATTCAAGTTGCCTTAAAAAAAAAAGAAAGAAAAAGAAAAAGACTCTTTACAAGTTACTTGTTAAGTCTTCGCTTGTCAACTCCTTTTGCCAATCTGGTCCTTTTAAGTATGTTTATCCTCATTTTTTAGATGAGGATACTAAAGTTCTGAGAAGACCTTGACCAAGGTGTAAAACTAGAAGTTGGAGAGCCAAACTTTCTTTATTGGTTGTGCTCCCTCCCTTTGCTACATCTCTGCTGCTGTTTTTCTATTGAATTAGGAATGATTCCATTTTTCCTTTTCATTGATCCTGTCTGGTCTCCTGGTGCCAGTCTAAGTCCAGAGTGGGTGAAGTAGTTCATATGTCAGTGACTTATTGGTGATCGAACAGACTAAAGGTGATGAACAGATTTTATGGGGAGGATTTCCAGTCAAATATCAATGCATAACTCCAAGTCACTTCACCATGTATAGGTGTCCTTCTGGGGAAGACTGGTGGTACATGGGAGAAAGGTGTGAGAAGAGAGGTTCAACCCGTGACACCATTGTCATTGCTGTTTCTTCCACCGCTGCTGTGTTTGTCCTGATGCTGATAGTCACCCTCATCAGTGTTTACTGTACCCGGAGGAGATATCGCCAAAGGCCAAATTCAAATATTGCGAATATCACTCTGGAAAATGTAAGTTGAGTTGGCTATTGAGTTATTCAAAATCTATGGATGAAATCATATGGAGAATTAGGACTTTTTTTTGAGGAGAGGGTACCAGGGATTGAACTCAGGGGCACCCCACCACTGAGCCACATCCCCAGCCCTATTTTGTATTTTATTTAGAGACAGGGTCTCACTGAGTTGCTTAGCGCCTTGCTTTTGCTGAGGCTGGCTTTGAACTTGAGATCCTCGAGCCTCAGCCTCCCAAGCCACTAGGATTATAAGCCTGTGCCACTGCGTCTGGCTGAGAATTAGGGCACTTTTTATGTACTTTTTTTTTTAAAAACCTTCTTTTGGTTTCCTATACTGAGAACAATGGATTTGAGACTATAAATGCTGATTACTTTTAATATAAATCAACAGCTTCTGATATCATGGCCCTTCTTCTTGGGATAGTTCATTATGCTCAAAATTGAGTATGGTTATGCATTTATTTTCCTAGGGTGTGTGTGGGGGGGGTCTGTGACCCTCTGAAAGACACGCTGATTTCTCCTGCGTGATATTCCCACCTTTCTGGAAGAGGAGAAACAAGGCTTATAAGTGTTTTGATTCCAAAGGTCTTTTAATTGGGGGATAAATTGAGGCCTACAGGAAGGGTGCAGCTGGGTTTGGGGAAGCTTTTCCAATGAGACGATTCTAGCTAATGCTAGTCATCATGAAGACAAGATCTTCAAGCAGAGGGTTTGACATTTTTCCCCAGGAAAGCTCTAAAATTGGCAACAGGTTCTCAAAACTATTGTCTCAGGAGCATCCTTTGGGCAGCAGAACCTGAGATGGAGGGTTGGGTGCAGGGGATTTATTGGGAACACTCCTGGGGACAGGTGTGATGATGTGAAGGCGGCTGGCACAACAGGGGTAAGCACGGGGTGTGATGTAGGCATGGCTGGGCTTTGACCCAGGCTCCAGGGAGCTCTGGAGCCGGGAGGGCTTCTTAGCCTAGGCCTGACTTGAGGGAGGGGGCCAGGACTTCGTACTTCACCACAGCAGCCACTGCACTGGGGCTGCCTCCAAGGTGGGGGCATGAAATTGAGCAAGACAGCAGTCTTGGGGGGAGGGCAATTTTTGCAGGAAAACTTTTGTTTGGAAGGGGCAGGCCAGAGCAGTGTGCTCTAGCACCCAGTAGATACCCCGGCAGTAGAGCGACTGATAGCCACAGGCACTTGCATATTCTTACAGAAGAGCTTGAAGAAAACAGCATCAAATCTGAACATTACCAAAGAGGGAAGTTTTAAAATTCTTTCAATTCGATTGCATTCAAATTAGAGTCTCTGAAAATTGT